GCTGACTGGTAATTGCAATTTAATTAATGAATTAATATGACTGATCTTTTCCTGTCTGCAAGGAGACATACAGGGGAGAAGCCCTTTGAATGTACTAAATGTGGGAAGTGCTACTATAGGAAGGAAAACCTGCTGGAGCATGAAGCCAGGAATTGTCTTAGCAGAACAGAAGTGGTGAGTTTGATAGTGGGAGACAATTTAAAATATGGATACATGCAATAGGAATAACCATAATGTGTCCTGTTTGGTGTTTACTGTTGCACAGTGGCAACTTACTTCCTGCACCTTTGTGTCTAAAATTTGTGCCAGGTGTTTTCGTGTTCAAAATGCACCATGACCTTAAAAAGCGACATGAGCTGCGTCTTCACACAGTCACGCCACAGGAGAGATGCCCAATAAGGTACATCATCCATTGTGGAGGTCAGATGTGACCTTTTTGTCCGGGGACATTTCGGCAATGTAATTTTATTTGTCGTTTTAGTGCACATCATGCTCTGAGCAGTTCATGCAGAAGAAAGATCTCAGGATCCACATGATTAAAATTCACGGAGCTCCTAAACCACACGCAGTAAGTTATTCTAATGCTAATAACTTGGTCTGCAATGCCATTAAAAACGAAACCAGATATCAGATCAAATGTTGGGTATTACTAATAAAAGTTATGTGTGTTGTGTAGTGTTCATTGTGTACCAAGTGTTTCCTCTCCCGCACTGAGCTACGTCTGCACGAGGCAGCCAAACATCGTGGTGAGAAACTGTTTGTGTGCGAGGAGTGTGGCCACCGGGCCTCCAGCCGCAACGGCCTGCAAATGCACATCAAAGCCATTCACAGGCATGTGACATCACTGAAACATACTTTATTTGTTGTTCATATTGTTATTCATTATTTCTGTCAGTTTTGTATGTTTTGGGTTTACCTTTTGAATTAATGCTGAACCACATTTGTTGCGCTTCTCTTCAGAAATGAGCGTCCTTTTGTGTGTGAGTTCTGCAATCATGCTTTTACCCAGAAAGCCAATCTCAACATGCACCTTCGAACACATACTGGAGAGAAACCTTTCCAGTGCCACCTCTGTGGCAAGACGTTTCGCACACAAGGTAACTTTTTCTTTGCCTTCAAAGGGATATAATTGTGGCCATTTAGATTTCCAATTCATTTTTAAAACCGAATCCATGCAGTTTCTCTGTTGCTTTTGTATTATTAAACAATTTTCTGATTGTGTGAGCAGCGAGTCTGGACAAACACCACCGCACACACACAGGAGAGCGGCCATTTAGTTGTGAGTTCTGTGAGCAACGCTTCACTGAGAAAGGTCCTCTATTACGCCATATAGCCAGCAAACACCAAGAAGGCCAACCACATTTTTGCCACATATGCAACAAAACTTTTAAAGGTGAGATTTACATAAAGAGTTATACAGTTACACTTTTGAGGCAATTTGGTGACATGTTTTTTACTTGCACGATAGATAGGTAGATAGATAGATAGATAGATAGATAGATAGATAGATAGATAGATAGATAGATAGATAGATAGATAGATAGATAGATAGATAGATAGATAGATAGATAGATAGATAGATAGATAGACACAGAGATAGATTGATAGACACAGAGAGATAGACTGATAGACACAGATAGATAGATAAATAGATAGATAGATAGATGGATAGATGGATAGATGGATAGATAGGCAGATAGATAGATAGATAGATAGATAGATAGATAGATAGATAGATAGATAGATAGATAGATAGATAGATAGATAGATAGATAGATAGATAGATAGATAGATAGATAGATAGATAGAGATTGAAAGACAGATAGACATATAGACAGATACATAGATATTGATCATTTTTTAGGTTATTTTTGACTTGAAATAAATGTACATTACATTGTTAAAATGTGGATTATTTTTATTATACATTTATATAATTATATAAAATGTGAATATTACATTCAATAAATGTTCTAAGAATTAAATAAAATGTATTTAGTTTATATGACATTATAAATATTATTTTCATTAATGTTATTGTTTTTAAAAAAAAAAGTGATTATTTCCTATTATTTTTTACTTGAATGACATATTTGCATGGGTGATTGTATAAAATATCTAAAATGATTAATTTTCTTATTTATATATTTACACTTTTTATCAAATTAAATAGAATATTTTTATTTATTTCAATAACAAGAATATATGAAAGGCAGTGGTTTCAAGTAATTAGTAGTACTGAATAACAATTTATATCCCATGATGCCCTTTCAGCCATCGAGCAGCTCCGTGTTCATGTACGACGTCACAAAGGCATGAGAAAATTTGAGTGTTCTGAATGTGGTTACAAGTTCACCAGACAGGTATGATAAAGGTTAACATATCAGATGTTTTGATCTCCTACTTGAGGTCTTAAGAGCTCAGTGTCTCTTTATTGCTTTTGACAGGCACATTTGCGACGACACTCGCAGATCCACAACCGTGTGGAGAACTACAACCCCAGACAAAGACGGCTACGTAACCTGATCGTGGAGGATGAGAATGCAGCTGCCTCATCCAGTCCTTCCAGCCAGACAGAGGTTCAGGCAGGACCAGCGGACATGGTTAACCTGGTTATCCAGCCAGAGACGGTTGTGTTGCAAACAGGTCGTCTCAGCCTCTGCTGGAGGAACGGGAGAAGACCAGGCCACATATTCAGTGAATGGTGAACAGCCTGGGTTTGCTCTGACTGGAAGGACTGATGGTGGAATGGAGCAGACTCCGTTCACTGTAGCAGATGTGATGGAGCAGACACTGCTGGTGACTGACACGTACCCCATCCATCAGTCCAGTGTGGTGGTGGAACTGCCCAGCACTGGGGCTGATGGGAAAGTTTAAATGGAGACTTTTTGACTCCAGAGCAGACACGGGAGGGTGGAATATGTATTAAGTCATTAAGATATGTCAAGCATTGTAAATAAACAGTATTCCTGCATGAAATACAGATAAGAAATTTTTAATATTAATGTTCATGATATTGATATTGAATTCATTGAGTTATCTATGAATTTGAAATCATGAGATTGTCTCAGTATAAGTCATTCAACCCAACTGTTGCAAAATGCAATGCTGTTTATCAATGTTTCGGGTCAAACTACGTACAATATTTGGTTGAAAATACTCTCTCTGTTTGAATGAACTGGCAAAACTTAACATTTTATTCTATATGGAGAAAGTGGAATCTTATTTCTACTAGCTAAGTGACTGGCACTTTAAGCTACAAGATATTTGACAAATTTGGATTTAATAATGTACAACCAAAGTTCTTGTTAGAGAATGTCATGATTTATTCAGCATCTGGATTTCATAATGTAAATTAAAACAGTCATACGCTTCATGTATACTTTTGTTTTAATAGAATAAATCATAAAAACAGAAATCCAAATCCGTCTGTTTTATTCACTTTTCTATGCACTTCTTGTTAAATAGTTTGAAGTAATTATTAATTAATTATATATTTTTTTAAATTACACGTTGATTGATTACACGTTGACTTGGGTCTGGGAACCACATGTTCATTTTCTCGTATTAGAGGCGTGGTTTTACGAATGCCCGGCGCCGTTAATTGGGTGCTAAGAACGTCTATCAAATGCTCCTGCACTTAGCTCAAAGCCAATCGTTGTTGAAGTTGTTATTTGCATTGGAAATTGTTTGCGCTTGTACTTCACAAGTTAAAAAAATGATAATTTAATTTAATGACTAAAGCGTCAACAACTTTAATCGGGCACGTGTGCACAGCTGAAAGTTATAGTACTAGCGGTAGCTGTGTATTGATATTGAAAAGCAACACAACTTAGTGGCTCTGTGACAACAACCACCACAGTAGGTAGTCTACGCAGGCATAATGAACATATGATATTAATAAATACCACTTACCATTTATAAGTTACATGGACTTCGTGGACGACGATGCCTAGCAGGTTGATACTATACAACTCCGTGGCTAACATGTCTTGCCACTTTGCGCTCATCCAGGCCTCGGGTCGGGACTTCCGAACAGAAGTTGGTATCGACAATTCTTTATTGCTTTTCTTTCTCGGGACAAAGCTAAAGCGGCAGATATTCCAAGGTTGACCGCCGAAGTTTAACACCAAAAGCGGCTCTTTTTTTCTAAATAAACTTGCATTCTAAACTACTTAAAACAATATCTAAGGCTGCATCAAAAGGTAGCTTCGCGTCTGCTGCCATGTTGAATCCATGGATATAAACAAACTGCTTCCTCCCCGCTCTGTGATTGGTTCCCTAAATGAGGCGAAAATCTGGCCATGGTATCCATATACTGCCTTTCAGCGTGAATAAAATCGCGCTGCGGTAAGGCAGTATGGGGAAACCCAGACTAGAATTTTTGTTGACTTGTCCTAATCTTTTAGTTTTATCTTCATTATGGAGTTAAACTTGTGTGTGTTAATCATCGACGACTGGATGTGCTTCAGCTGATGTCTCTTTCTGCATCCTTATACTGTCTTCCACTGATTGATTCCTGAAGACAGGATGTACCAATCCCAACTTGATGGAAAATTAGATGCGTCTAACACAAAAGGTGGTACATACATGTATGAAAAGACCAAAAGTAACAGTGATTAAGTCATTTATTGGTTGACCACACATACAAACATTACACAAATCATCTCCTTGTCTGTGTTGGACAAATAATTTTGGCCACAAAACAAACTAAACCTGTAAGAAAAATAAAAAGTAAAGTACCGCTTCAGCGTATTGTAATAATTAGTTTCATAATTACTGGTATTGTCAAACATATATTGTCAAACATACATTTACTCAAGAATAATGAGATACTGAATTACTAATTCCAGTTATTAGTACAGCTTCCTAAAACAATCTGGCATACAAACAATACCTTCATTGATTTTTCACCAATGGAGACAGCTCAAAAAAAAAACAAGCTGTTTCTCACAAACTGTAACAGTTTCTCTAAAATAAACAATGATAATCAAACTTAATTTAATATTAAAATATGAGTTTAAAAGCAAGTCTAATACAAACGCACTTAAAATATGACCACTGCATGCATGCAAGATTGTCTGACATGTAATTATAATAAGCACAAAAAAAATATGGGTTACACTTACCCCGATTTTAAGTTTGTCTGTCAAACAAAATTGTTGTTTTTGGGAAGTCTTGGATTCTCCAAAATATTTCATTTCAACTCTTCTCAGCTTATATAAAATACTACACATTTCAGAATACAATCAATTTAAGCTAAAAACAATCTACAATCTAAGTGATCCAAACTTTAACCTATTGGAATGCTTGGGGGTCTCAAAATTATTTTTGGACTTCTCATTATGTAATGATATATTATATTATGTTATATTTTGGGGGTTTGAAGTTCCAATGTTGCGAATAACTTTAGGTCCATGCTGAATTATAAAATAAATAAGAGCAGAATAATGAGTGTAACCGCCATGCAATTTCAAAGGCATGGATTGCTTGAAATTGGCCAAACACGATAGGCACTATTTCATGAGTCACTTCACTTAAGTCTCTGTTCAAGGTAAACACAGCCAGCATTAGAAATGCATGCAACAATTAAAGCTGTAGCAACACTGGGTTACTTGGAGAAATAACGCAAACATTGACTGTCCATTCACCAGCTCCCTTTACTGCCCAGTTGAGGTGAATATGTGATAAAGTGCAAAACACTTAGTAGCGATGTCACATTGAATGACCTTCAGTTTAATGTTTCGAAAAGTTCTCAATGCACTTGATTGACATCTTGGTTGTGGTTCTGATTAACATTGTTGTTGTGGTTGTAAAGTGCCTGGTGGCGGTGGTGTCTGTGGAGGTGGATGGCGTTGGCCTCGGGTACGTCAATGGGTTCGAAGGTGCTTGGAACAAGGGGCATGAACTGTCGGAATATGCTAACACTTCCATGCCAGAAAGTGGGCTGGGGGAGCCGGCCAGCTGGCGTCCAAGATCGAGTAGAGGGGTCGTAGACCTCAACCACGTCAGATAGCTCAAAGGTGTTGTCATAGCCACCGGACACAAAGAGTCGACCCCCAAAACTGCTACACTGCCTCCAACATGAACCTGTAAATGTTGTAAGTGAAGACTTTTTACTTATCCGTGTGAAAATGCAAGTTAGTTTGGTATCTTTTATCATCATATATTATAACTGTATTCATTTTAATTGGTTGATAATAACAAAACTGTTTTACTGCAGAGCCCCTAAGGGGACATGGTGATGGAAATAAACGAGATGGGAGGGACAAAAAATATATATATTTCAATGCTTAGTTAATATTTTTTGTAATATATTTCATCGTATTATGAAAATAAATATTGAAATATGTTCCAAAGTATTGCACTGCCCTAGAAATTTTGCGCTTACTTGCTATAGAACTGCTATCTAGTTTATAATGACTGGTTGAGGTCAAAAAGTGATGTATGACCAAAAAAATCATTGTGGGAAAATATTTTGCACAATAAGTGAAATTCCAGTTCACATAGATTACTATTTAAATGACTAAATTTTGATTGTTAAAATTTGTAGAACAGCGGTAAATGTGACTGCATGTTAATGGATTGAAACAAGGCAAAATTGACATACTTGTGCCATGGGACTAATCTTGTCCCATTCGTGTTTCTGTGGGTTGTAGACATCAACTTCTGCCGAATCATCCCTGAAACACAAGCGTTGTTATGTGAAACATATACAAGTACATTTTCTTCATCATTCCATTTTCTGCAAACAAGGAACTGGAAAAAAAAGTGACCACCTCACCTTACAAAGTAGATCAAGCCATTTAGAGTCACTGATTTGGGGGCAAAGGACCACGGAGGCAGTTCTCCACCGTTGATTAGTGACCAGCGGTTGCTTTCAGGATCGTAGCACTGTATTGCCATTGTGTCCTCTCCGGTTAAGGATCCAATGGCGTAGAGCCGTCCCCTACATGCTGTAGTTGAACAGTTATCCATGGGATGCAGCATGGGTGGAAGAGCCTCCCAGCAGTCTAGGGTATGGTCATAGCGCTCTGTGCTGTCAGAAGCTACCACATAGAGTTGACTCTTCATGACGCAGGAGCTGTGGTACTCTCTGGCTTTCAGCATGGGGGAGACCTCAGTCCACTCGTTCACACTGGAGTTGTATCGCCAAACGCAATCATAGAGACGTGATCCATCCGAGCCACCTGTCACAATGAATCAGGTTTGAGTGCTTAAACTTATACCAATACCAAACAGAATAGACACTCTTTACAATCATTTATCAACCTTATTTTTCAAACTTGCCTACACAAATAGACTTTTTAGATTATGTGTCACTCTTCAGAGTAGTTTTCTATAAATAGGGATGACAGAATTTGGGATTAAAAATGAACGCTAAAAAAGCGGAAGAGAATACGCTCTCGCATGCGATCTTCCACCAATGTGCTTTCCTGCATTACTTATTGAGCCAAAACAATGGTACTAAATCTACAGTGCAAAACAGACAGTAGGGCTTTTCACTCTTGAAATAGTTAACCCTGGGTGAACAGAATCCTGGGTTATCTTAATTGACGTTTGACACTGCTCATAATTTTATAATAATAACAATCAATCCTGGGTATTTGTAAGCTGCTGTTTCACATTGTACATTCCTAAACCCTGGGTTAACGTCATTATTTTCCAATGCTAGGCTATACGTACTAACGGCACATCTGGAACCTTAACTGTCAATTAAGTTTCGTCTCCGCCCAAATGGGCTATATGCACGCATAAGTTCCGCATTTGACGTAAGGATGCTCGTCCATTTCCGGTTGTGTAGATTAAAGCGGAGGAAAACCGGAGAAAACGGGATTATGGCAGAGTCTTCAATATTTACTGTCCTCCCGTCTTTGAAACGAAACGTACATACGTTTAGATGTTATTTTATATATAGTTATGTTTATTTAATATAATTTTAAAAAGAAGCATAAACACAACGAGGGGTGTCTGTTTTATCTGTTTTTGTGACTAACGTTTCATTAGTATAACCATGGAGTATAAAATTCAATATAAATTCTCGGTATTGCATTGGACTCTATGATCGGCGGAAGTTATCGAGCATCCCTAATGCTTCACCGGAAATAACGCCGTGCATAGAGCCCATTGGTGGGGTTGTTACACCAATTTGAGGCTGGGAAAATGAAAGGACCTGTCTTTAAATTGACCAAATTAAGTTTGAGGATGTAGCTATCGGAAGGTTAGTAAGTCCAAGTTCCAAACAAGTGACTTCATACAGTTTACAATTAAAAGTACAGTCACATTATTTGCCGAAATTTTGTAGGAAATAAGGTCCATTGTCTATTGTAAAGAGTGTAGATATGTTATATGAATTACAGCATTCGATCACATGGATCCCTATTGAAATGACTGGATTTTGCCCACAAAAGTTAGCCTCATAATGGTAAAGGTGGCCACATCTTAACTGTGAGACTTAAATCAGTATAGTCATTGACTGGTTGTTCATATAACAGTTAAAATACACACTTTGTTTTCTGGCAGTAACATATAATTAATAAAGTTAAAGGATTGACATGGTACTTTTTTAGCATTACTATTTAATATACAGTAAAGGCTATTATTAGATAATCTTATTAGATTGCAAAAATGTTTGTAAATGAAAAAATTTGTTTTATTAATTTTTGTATTGTAATTGTATACATTTTTACTAAATATTTATTTCTTCAAAAGTACTAAAATAATCGTTAATAATATCATCAAGGAACCAGAATTGTTGACTGAAATCGGAACCGGAATTGCTGAATTCCATAGTGAGTGTTCAGTCACCCTTTTAAACACCAGTTACATAACAGCAAAGGACACTTAGAAAAGAAGCAGCATGTCATCTGAACTGTTTTCTCAATTTAAACATTATCCGTTCCTGAATGTAACTGATGTCACCTACAGTAAAATCACGTTGACCACTGCTGATTTGGCATAACATTTTGTCCTATTACCACACTCTCCCATAGCCAAATATAAAGGGCTTTATTTATACATTGGCTGCCATGTTGTAAACAGTTTGAAAAGAAGGGCACTCTTAGCCTACTTGGGGATTTGCTTGTTGAGTATGAGTTTGTCATTCACAGAAGTCCTAAACAGAAAACAGCATTATTGTACTAACCTGTCACGTAAATGTCGTTGCCCAGGGCAGCTACGCTGTAGCCACCTCCAAGGTGGTCTGGGAATTCTGCTAAGTATCTCCACTGTCCGGTCTGTGGGTTGTAACAATCCACCGTAACAAGCTCATCACACTCTTGATCACATCCTCCCACCACCACCAGAATTTCGGCCAGGCCGGTGGATGGACGTGGGCGCATTCGATGACCAGGTCGGTCATGGCGGTCGTATTCAAAGGACTGAAAGCTGCGTGCCTCACTGACTAACCGTAAACAGGCCGGTGACAAGTAGACCAGCGGATCACTCTCAACGTGGGCCAGAAGGTAGAAACGGCGAACAAACGGCAGACGTACTTGCTGCAACAACTCAGGCCAGTAATGCAACCGGTGCTGCAAGTCGGCTTTGACCCAGCGTACGGCAATCTGGTGTGCGGTTTCTTCCTTATCCACACACAGTCCGTCATCAGACACAAACTCCAGTAGTCGCTTCCACGACAATCGCTCAAAGTCCATGCTTTTCGCCAGCTCCACAATGTTCTTCAGCACAAAACGGCGGGCGCTAGATGCTAGCTCACGGCAGGCATAAGCCTCTGCAAAGTCCTGGATCTCCAAGCAGTTGGAAACATCAAGTCTCTGCTCCAGGAACGCACAGCACGCTTCTTTGACGGAAGGGAACTGAAAGAGGTCCGCCGTCTTGAGCAGAAGGTCCACATTGTCATGTGTGACGTTCACGCGACCTGTGTAGCAAAAGTCAACCAGGAGGCCCAACAGTTCAGCTGATACTTCGTGTAGCACCACACGGTCCATGACGCTCTCTCTCAGAGTACCGGCAAACATGGCACGGAAGTATGTGCTCGCAGCTGCCAGCACAGTTCGATGGCACTGGAACTCTTTGCCTTCAGCACACAATGTGACGTCGAAGAACTTACGCTCTGCGCGTAGCTCGTGGATGCCTCGGAGCAAGTTAATGGCGTGGGCCGTGTCAAAGAAGGGCAGCATAGAGGGCTGCGTTTGTAAAACTGGTTTCTCCATAGCGGTTCCTTATAGCTTACAGTATTTCTCTTGGTGTGTGTTCAGTCAGAACACTGGATTCATCTTTAAAAAGAGAACAGAAGTATTAGTAGTTTGTAGTAGAAAAGCCCAAATTGAAGTTACAGCCTACCTGTGTATCTTCTCAAAGCGTTTAAATTTGTGAAAGGAAAGAGACACGGTAGCTTCTAGAATGAAATATCATGCGGTTATGACGAATGTGCGCAACCGTTGGTCTCTTAAGAAAGAGTGCTCATCGTGTCTAGTCTATAAATAAACCACCAGTGTCCATTTTCACAGGATGGGAGGGGGTCTCCTCACAATGTTTAGCTTATTTTACAGGAGATTACAGAAACTTCCCCTCTTTAACTAACTCCTCGTACAGCAACAAAGCTAAAGAAGGTTTAAAGGGGTAGTTAAAAATAAAAATAAAAAATAAAACCATTTACTCAACCTCATTCATTCAAACCCTGTATTACATTCTTCTTTCTGTGAAATGTAAAAGGGAGAATGTCAGAGCTGCACTTTTCCATACCATGAATGAGAATGGCAAAAAAAGGACATATAAGAATGCACCATAAAAGTACCATAGAAATATACTTGTGCACTATATTCAAAGTCATCTGAAGCTGACTGTGAGCTTCATGTGAGAAACAAAGCTGTTTGTTTACTCACATTGTCCACTGGCGATTAATAATGTTCCATTTATTAAAACTTAAGCATACGCCGGTTATGTTGTCTGCCGCTTTAAATTCATGAGCTTGTTAAAGTCAAGTGGATTCTGATTGGCTTTCAATGGTTTTAGGATTCATCAGCTGAAATAAATTGTTCTGAAAGTGATTCCAACGATATTGCTCCTTTGTGTTGTTGTTTTCGTTATAGCTGTCGTGTGGACCTGACTATTCTCATATAATTATTTAGAACAGTTATTATAGCCATAATGGCGCTTTTCCACTGCATGGTATGGTAGGGTTCGGTATAGCACGCTTTGGCGTTTTTCCACTGCATGGTACGGTATGGATCGGCTTGGTACGTCTCAATTGTGGCATTTTTCCACTGCATGGAACGGTAAGTTACAGCTCGCTTTAAATGGTACCTGATCTGTTGAGGTTCCAAGTGTACCGTACCGGTACTAAAATGTGACATGAAACACTGAGATCACTGATTGGTCAGACAGAATCGTCACTACCAGCGTCATTGTATTTGCGACCAATAGACATCGACACAAGAAACCAAACCCGCTAGATTTAAATAGCCAGTAACAGCCACCGCCATTATCTATCAGTCTATAATCCCACCCACTTTAAAGCGGTACTAACTGCAGTGGAAAAGCAACCAAGCTAAAGCGAACCGAGCCGTGCCGAGTCGTACCACGCAGTGGAAAAGCAAAGCGAATTATGCCGCGCAGAACTATACTAAGGTTTGTGGAAAAGCATCATTAGACCTTTATAGTTATAGTTATCGTCCTTGGAATTAACAAGCATTAATGGCTCAGATTTGCTATCATATGATTTCAGAAGACATAGAATATATAATTTTATTGTTACGTTTATGTTTTTTTAAGCTTGTCAGTGTAAATCACCAAACACTTGTTGTGTAGAAAAAGAGTAGCTCAGACATTCAGCTTCACATTTACTGTTGTGCTGCTTCACATTAAAAAAGAAAGTAATTAGTAGTTATTTCAAATGAAAAAGCATTTAGCAGGCTAAATAAATATGCGTTATAACATTTCCCCTGTATATTCTGTTTATATTCTCAACAAGAGTTACAAGGCAGGCAGCTAAAGAAAGGGTTTTTTCAATGGCAGTGTGAGTTTAAAATAAAATGGCATTTCAATCTCGAGGATCAGGTATCAAAAGAATGGCAAACACATATAACTCCTTTGAGGCACAAAACAACTATAGCTCACTGAAGAGCAAATGTGACATGTAGAGATTTACCTATGCAGCAGGCAGCTCTGAAGTTTTATGAAGGTTGACTCATCAACAAGAATGAGAGAGAGGGTCAACAAACTGCAGAGAAATAGACCTGCTCTAAACAGCAAAGCTTTACAGTTACCAGTGAGAGACCTACATTATGTGTGGCAGGGCTGAGGAGGAATTATGCATTCATTTTCTACTGGGCTCCCGAGAGACTGGGTATTTTTGAATTTATTAGATGCCAATATACATCCACAATGCAGTTTTTCAGTTATGAGTTTGTATCTGTTAGCAAAATTAATTACCTGAAAAACAGTCGCCCGATATTGGATATTACCGATATGGATAAGTAGGTTGGCCCACACTGGCCGATAACCGATTAATCAACCGAAAACAAACATAACACATAAAATAATAAACTTTATTACAAACTGTTAAAACACCACTGAACCATGAAAATGTACAGTACTTTTTAAATATAAAAATATTTATTTATTAATTATACCTTGACCATTCGTGTTAGTTAGTGCATTAACTACTGTTAAGAGAAACTGTTAGTAAATGTTGAAATGACAATACTTTTATTAACCTTAGTTAATGTTACAAGTGGGGTCTTATTGTAAAGTGTTAACATTTCATATAAATTCAAAGTCATGTTTATAGATGCATCTTTCAATATCTACACAATGGCCATCGAAATTAGTCACATATGTAATCGTATATATACTCTCACAGTTTATTTGCTTACATTTGCTTATTTTATAACATCTAATATAAATAAAATATGTATTTAATGATAATAAACTTAATGTTTTTATTTCTAACAACCATTGGTTTTCAAATCCAAATTTATTTGTCTTCAATGACCGACTATAATGTTTTAATAACAAAGCAGCACAATACTGTATAAGTGAGTACTGTTTTTCATAGGTCATGGTTTATGAAGCAACCATCTCGTTCTCGTTCCCATCATACCTGTTGGGTATTAGGCAACTCGAATGCCAAGCTGCTTACTAGCAGTCTGTTTACCAGTCAGTCCCAAGAATAGCATGGCTGACAGTGACCAACACTTCATTTCTCCTGACTTCTTGTCTTGTCATGTCAATAAGGTGTCATGATCTATAGTTAGGAGGAGACATGATAATTGACAGGAAACGTCACTCTGTGCCATATCATGTGCTGGTTTATCAACAGTAGGCCTTTCTAAAACATCATTGTGAAAACATACAGATTACTCCGTAACATATCTATCATTATTTAATATATAGGAGTCGAGTGAACTTCAGATTTGTCCTTTTACTGGATCACTGTGCTATCAATCGATTAAAAAAAATAACTCACATTTTTTCACATATTAAACGCAATTAAAAACACATTTTTGTAGGTTTTTATCTAGTTTATATTTATAATGTAATATGAATTTTAATTATGAAGGCTATATTCAAATAAATTGTTAGAATAAAATGTTCTTCAAAACTATATCTACATTTTTTTATGCCTTTAGGATTAAAATTGAATGCTATTTAATGCCTTAATTTTCATTATATCAAAATCATGAATCCATAACATAATCCATTTAATGCTTTTAAATGCCCTGGGGATCCTTTAGATTTTGCAACCAGTGAGTGGACCATATAAAGTATCTTCTTTGTCTAACTTTTCGAACCCCTCAGGGACCCACTTCCATTTGCACAGCTATTGTACACCCTGTATGAATCTCTAACCCACCAGTGGTCTGCAGTCTAATGTTGCACCTGGCTGAGAAATGCCCATCGTAACACAGCTGCCATCGCTCTGCATTCCATTAGCAAGATCCCAAAGTAGCTGAACATGGTTGGGCCTCAGAACACCCATGATTAGGCCCTGCTTCACTCTATAGCCAATTAGACCAGTCCTCAATCCATCACATTTTTGCTGCAGCCATCACTAGCCCTTGTAATAAGGATAGGATTTGTTCCTTCTTTGGTGTGAATCAATCAATGAATGCTATTTACATAATTTGCTCATTTGCATTTACATAAATATTTACACACACTACTGATCAAAAATGTGAAATAATTAGGATTCTTATATATACTTCAGCATTTTTTACATGCTGAATTATATATAAGAAACAAACAAACAAAAAAGAAAAAAAAAAACTAATTTATAAGCTTGTTTCCTTCAATTTAGTTTCCCACAGTGACACAAGTACCCATGAGTCAGTGTGAATTCAGGTTGAAGTCCCCACCGGGATAGAAAAACAAGCACACACGCAAAAAAAAAAAAAAAACTGTTTGGAATAATGTTTCATGTTTTTTATTTATTATTATTATTATTATCGTTTTTGCTAACCAAGGCTGCATTTAAAAACAAAATCATAAATACAGTAATATTCTTTAAAAAAATAATATTGTGAAATATTATTCATTTTTTAAATAACTGTTTTTCATTGTAATATTATTTATTAAGATGTAATTGTATTGGCATAAGTGAATTCTCAGCATTACTTCAGTCTTCAGTGTCACATGATCCTTCATAAATCATTATAATATGATGATTTGATGCTCAAGAAACATTTTTTTTTTGCATCACAGGAATAAATTACATTTGAATATATATATAAAAGTGAACATCCATTTTAAATTGTAATAATTTTAACAATATTAGTGTAATCTAATTTTCAAACTTTTGATTGGTAGTTCATATGTATTCAAACTGATGAATACAGATGAAAAAATATAAGACAGATGTTTGCCTAGAAGTTAGGTCGGAAATCAATCTGATCCTCAGGCACAGCACTGCATATAAAAGCAAGTAACGCTATGTTTACAAATTTATGGATTACAAAAATATAATAATAATAATGACTAAATTCAGCACCTTGTATTTTGGGATTAAAGAAGATCAGACATTTTAGCAATAGCCTACAGCCAGAAGACCTTCAACAAGACAGTCTTCTATTTCAAGATTTGACCTGATGGTTATTATGTCATGCACTGCTCATCTTCACCAACTAACGTTACAGCAAAGAGGCTTCACGTAACAACAGAAACGTTTCTTATATAATTCATTTTCAATCGAGTAAAGTAATTATAAAGACGCCTGAGCAAAATCCAGCGTCATGAATCACTACAGAAACATACATGAATCGGTTTCCGACCGACACAATAACCGTCTGCTGCTTCGTTTGAGAAAAACAACACGAGACGCGTCACATTTTCACCTTCAAACACACAGGCTGTTTCTGACGCATTTCTACTCACCCAATCCGAAACCCAAACCCAATTTCGGTTGCTCTTCGCCTCAGATAGTTTGACAGATGTGTCAAATTTGTGCTATATCTCTATGTATCGTTGTAACTTTGCTAGAGTGTCCGTTTTTTCTTCGCTCATGTCAGCGCCATGACTCCGCATCATAAGAGACCCTCATTGGACACTCGTGCACCAGTTACACGGTGACGTGATCTCAAGTTTGAGTGTCCAAACCAAACCAAACTGTTGAACCAGAGAATCTTGAACTGAAGCCGCACATGGAGGCGCATCCATTACAGCCAGATTCTCTGTTTACTTTCTGCTTGAGACCGATATGTTTGAATAGACTTAATAAAAAAAAAATGCTAATATTCTAGCCTTTGCCTCATTGATGTCTCGCAGATTAATTTTATTGCACTGGAAGTCTTCTAAATCTCCTACTTTCTCGTGGTTAGAGGATTTTATGTTATTTCTATATAGCTATTGAAAAAAATAAGTTTGCACTAAGGGAAGTTTGCACTGACAAATTTTATAAAAACTGGGACCCTCAACTTAATTTTACCAAGAATAGCTACACCATCTTTTGCTGATTTATAATAGCCTATGCATATTTGATCAACCTATGGATCTCTTCATGTTTATTTGTGTCTTTTTAAAAAGAACAATATATAAAGGGGGGGGGGAAATTAATGTATACTTTTATTAAAATTGCTATTTTTTTTATTTTATTTTTTTAACTGGGAAATGGAGGGAATATTCTTTAGATTTCTGAATTTTATAAATAACGACCCCACAATATTTGCTACAATATAAAGAGTGAGTCTTGGCCCTCCATAGCTATGCATTTACACACTTTCAAATGATAAATCAAAATTTTAAATCAGATTGATTTAGCTTTTTTTACTGTTTGTATGTTTTCTTGTTTATTCTTGACTTCAAAGCAAAGGGATTATTTTATGCTTTTGTGCTTTTGATTTAAGATGCTGGCGGGGTGCAATCTTTCTGCCAAGACTACGTCTTTGCATGCATAATCAGAGATAATGGTTTGAGTGAATGAATGGTTACATGGAAAAATAGAAAGCTTGTCTTTTTGATAAGAACATTTCAGAGAGGATTTTTAACATCATGATTAAGAAAATCTAAGATTAACTTTCTCAGCCTTTTTAACCATGTTGGATTCTAAATCTGGATGTAGAGTGCACTAACAGATTTGAAATACAAAATGAAATATATGTGACTAATTGAATTATATGAGATGCACTGAACAAGTCTAATCCTGAAGCAGTTTCATGCCAGAAATGCAAATTACTATACATTTAATCAAGTCAAGTCAGTATTCAGCATCCTAAAGATATGCATATATATTATATATATTTTATTATTGTATCCATTAGAATGCACCTTCAGATTACTTATTGCATTACACTCACCTAAAGGATTATTAGGAACACCATACTAATAATGTGTTTGCTCCCCTTTCGCCTTCAGAACTGCCTTAATTCTACGTGGCATTGATTCAGCAAGGTGCTGAAATCATTCTTTAGAAATGTTGGCCCATATTGATAGGATAGCATCTTGCAGTTGATGGAGATTTATGGGATGCACATCCAGGACACGAAGCTTCCGTTCCACCACATCACAAATATGCTGGATTGGGTTGAGATCTGGTGACTGTGGGGGCCATTTTAGTACAGTGAACACATTGTCATGTTCAAGAAACCAATTTGAAATGATTCGAGCTTTGTGACATGGTGCATTATCCTGCTGGAAGTAGCCATTAGAGGATGGGTACATGGAGGCCATAAAGGGATGGACATGGTCAGAAACAATGCTCAGGTGCAATGCCCAATTGGCACTAAGGGGCCTAAAGTGTGCCAAGAAAACATCCCCATTACACCACCACCACCAGCCTGCACAGTGGCAACAAGGCATGATGGATCCATGTTCTCATTCTGTTTACGCCAAATTCTGACTCTACCATCTGAATGTCTCAACAGAAATCGAGACTCTTCAGACCAGGCAACATTTTCCAGTCTTCAACTGTCCAATTTTGGTGAGCTCTTGCAAATTGTAGCCTCTTTCCCCTATTTGTAGTGGAGATGAGTGGTACTTGTGCTGTTGTAGCCCATCCGCCTCAAGGTTGTGCGTGTTGAGAAATTGAACAGGTGTTCCTAATAATCCTTTAGATGAGTGTACATTTGCATGTTCTGGGTCCCATATTTCAAGAACTTGTGTATGACATTTAGTAAGAAATGGAACTTTAGCACAAAATAAGCACTCTGGTTGAATTTACCACGTAGCTTACACCATTTAGAGGCAGACAATATAACATATTAACTTACATCTTTGAAAGAAAGATGCAATCATTATCCATCCCCAGGATATAATTATAAAATATGACATTATTTTAAAAGTCAACAATAACATCAACTATGCAATACATTTTAATTAATTTAGTGCTAACAAAATTAACGGCCAAATACATTTTAGGCGCGTTGTGTTGGCGGGAATGCGTGACAAAAGACCGAAATGAGTGACTGTCACTCTCAATGCGCGACACTTCAGAGCCCTAAAAACAAGTGGTCTAACATGGACCTGAACTGTGGTGTAGAGAAAATCATCCGCTTTCATTAACTCAGAAAATGCTGACACTCCCGTTTGAGAGCAAACGATTTGGCTCAGGCATCATCCTGCTGCTCTTCATTGATTAGCCATGACATTGATTGCATTTTAACGTGCTCACAGTTGATGTGGTGCCACATAAGAAAGTGCAACATAACTTTGATGTATTTAACCTTGAGAAGAAAACATTTTGCTTTTAAGCCAGTCTTGGAGTGCAGTAATGCCTTGGCTGAGGGGAAGTGGACTGAAATTCACCCCGCTCAGACGACCTCATGGTTATTTCTCAGAGCTTTTGTGGGTTAGATTGTATTGTCTATCTGTCCGAGTGACTGTACTAGAACATACTACTCACAAGATGGAGCTATTTCACATACAGTATTGTATATGTATTGTTCTTTAGTTAAGAAATGTTATATTTATTTCATTTGTACTAGCCTACTGGTAAGTTCATTATTGAAAAAAATTGCAAGTGATAATTAATATTTATAAAATAGTATTATACAGTTATTTTTTATTATGTAAAAACAAACTTTTTTTTTTTTTTTTTTACAATCTAAAAATACTAATCGACTGCACATCTGGACCTGGATAGGCTACATCATGTCTAGCAAAAATCCAGTCACTGCATGCTTTGCATAACTGCTTGCCTCTCCTCATAAATCCAGTGTCTATTATATTCTCATTTCCACACATCTTGGCAATGTTTAGCCTTGATTTACAGCTTTGCTTTAGTATACACTACCAGGTTTGCACATTATTCATAAGAATTAATTATACATGTCCTCACCATAAGGTTTGGTATTAGTCATTTCTATAGTTGGATGATGTAGATGTAAAGATAGATTTGGTACTGCAGAGTAATGTTACTCTATTATCATTCTACTGAGCAGAGCAGTGGGGAAAAACACCACTGTCAGACGGCCTGAGCATAAATTATTGATACAACTGTTAAATCAGAGTGTGGTCGTCGGAAATGCCAATAAACACTTCACCAGACGGGGAGAGCAGAGAAGGGGATGATTTTTTCACAGTCTTATGCACATAGAAACAATCATAACACTGCATTCAGAATTGTGTGTGTAATACACACTTGGCAAAAATAACAATCAGGTTCAGGAAGTAGAAACTAACATCTATTATTACACTGGTCCTTTGAAAATCGTGGAATTAGGCAGTCTGATATTTACTAATATTCGCTGTTGTTCATGTCCCACAGACTCGCTCTTTTTTCCTCTCTCTCTCATACCAAATACATATATTATACCAAATATATATATAATTTTTTTTTGATATTTTTTTTAATTGAATTTTCTTTATTTTTCCCCCTGATTGTTGTGGCTTATTATAATGGATATCATAATAATAAATGATAATGAAATTATGTCTGTACATTATTATTTTCAAATATGTTATTTACATTTTCAAATTAAACCAACAAACAAACAAACAAACAGGTCTCAGATACAGCTATTGACAGTTGTTTACAGTCATAGAGTACAGAGGTAAGAGGAAAGGTTGTTGATACAAGAACACATTTAGTATACTGTAATTTAGCTTTTTCAAAATTAGTTAAGAATGGGTTCCAAGAAAGGAAAAATGTGTCCATTGACTAGTGATACTGACAATTTGTATTATGGATAGCATATTATTGACCCATACCTGAAAGGAAGGAGGAGTGGGAGACTTCCATTCCTTCAATATCAGACTCTTGGCAACCATCAATCCCAGTTCCAATGGTTGCCACATTATAGTTGGGATTGTCCTTGCAGCCAAAAATAGCAAGTCCAGGCTTGGGCTAAAGGGGGCTCTAATATGCTTTGGAGTACCAGTCAAATATTTTAGACCAAAAGTTTGCCAATGAAGAGCAAGCCCCAAAAGCATGTTACAGTGTACCCTCTGACATAGGCTATTACATGTCTGTACATTATTAATTGCATATTTAGTATAGCCTTAGAGGCCTGTGGTTGTCATTTCAAGCTAAAATCTAATATATAATGTCAAGATGTTCTATGATCAGACCCTGTGTGCCCATGTCTACCCATCCATGTCTGATGGTAAAACACGCTGATGATCCATGGTGAAGGGGTTAATAGCATCTAACTCATAAATCTCCAGGGAAACGTTTATCATCAGGTGATGCTCAAGGGTGTTGCTTAGAATTCAAGAGGGTTTTCTGAGGACTGCCTTGACTGTCTGAGCAAAAAAAGAAAAGTAGTGTTGTTGTATTTCTCATCCTTTCTTATTCTGTCCCTGAATTTATATATATATATTTTCTGGTCAGAGTGTTAATTAACCATGAAGGAAAGTTATAGCCCCAAATTCTGCCATAAATACTTCAGTAATTATCATGCTGAGATCATGGAAAAATCAAACAGCAATACAGTTGTTGAAGCTCGTTTATTTTCCTTTTACTAACCATTAGCGGCTATACTTCTCATTATTCAGACAATTGGCTAATTTATTCTCACCTCTCAGAGTATGCTAAAGCTTTCCACATTTGCTATTATGCCATTTATCAGTGTTTTATCCTCATATTCACACGATTAACTATTCGGGCCTGAGGTTTATTCTCCTACTTTAATTTGGAAAATTATTC